GGGTAGGTTCCCACGCTAACGCGGATAGAACAGCGGGGGACAGCTATAGTATTGTACCTACTGATTGACTGACATTCTTATATTAACGTACAGTCGAAGCTACTGAATCAAAATCTTGAAATATGCAAGTAGGTTCTTTGTATAGCGTAAATAAGCATCATGAAAAGGACTCGGGAATAAAGATTGTATTGAATTTCGTCAGTTTTAAAGCTGGAAATCTACTGTCAACGACGTCTGCCCGCGTTCAGGTCGCGTTCTCGGCAATGACGCTTCATTGATTAGACCGCCCGTCTACCCCTGAGCATCGTACCCCGTCGTCTTACAGTAGAAGCGCCGCGTAATGGCTTACTGCGTTGCGTCAAGTTAATTTTATCGTGATAACTTTTAAAGTATTCTTCCAAATTACTTAGTGTAAATGACAAAGTTTACCCATATTAAATATTTGAAACGACAATTGTATCAATTTTATAAGAATTTGACAGTTATTCTAAAATGTACATTGTAAAAAAAAGTATCCAATTTAATTGAATTTATGGGTCAGAATTTTGCATATAGTGGCTTCCACATAAGGGGTAGATATATGCTATCGCGGACTTTTATTCAGAATTATTTAAGGTAATCAATCTTTAGATGATTTGAAAATCTATAATCTGTAAAAGTCTGCATAAATTTCTCCTTGACAGTCTGATATCAGAAGTGTCAGTAAAAAATTCCAAAAGTAGAATGTATACATTGAGCAAATAGGTTTTTAAAGGCAAATGCAAATTAACGCTTTTTTCACCATAGCTGTACAAAGTTCAGGTTACAAAATTTATTTCACATTTATGTGATGCAATATGCCGATACTTGATGAAAATCCATAATAAATGTATTCAAATTTAACTTTTGTTTGTATGAGAGTAGATTTTGGATAGTTATTGGGTGAATTTCTCATTACATAAATATACAAAACAGATTGCTAGTGCTCTAATAGCAAGTCACTTTTGACAGTGACGTCGATGTATTTCTATATGCTAATACCCAACCCTATTTGCCTTTTCGCTTTCCCATACGTTCTTCTTTATTTATCCTCGTTTACGACGTAAAAAATCTTTGACATGTTCATCAACCCGACCTCCTATTGACACAACCGACTATAGAGAGGAGTTTGTTTGGAAACGTGCAAGACTCTGTCGATTGTTTGACGTGTTCATCATCATCAGTCTCGAACAAAAAGAATACGTCGCGTATGTTTGTTCGAGGTATTCCGTGATTTTATGATGGGCAAACACTTCGGGAAGAAAGAAAGTTTCGAGATAACTGTTGTGAGCTTACGTCCGATTGAATTGCAGAGCCTTGACAAACAACGATTGAAAAAGATTACGTCAGGCATGGACTGGCCATTTATCCCGAACGAATCTGTTTGAAAAAAATATGTTTTTCCATCAACCAGCTGTCGCACCCCTACGAACGACAACCCTCATAAGTCGAAACTTGTGCGAGCTAAGGATTAACGAGGTCGTACCTTTTAACGTGTGATTCCTAACGCGGGTTGAACGATAGCAAGTGAAAATCGATCGTTCAGAATGATTGAAATAATTTAAAAAACAGAAAAGTCTCTGAGAAATCGAACTGAAAATCGTCGAAAAGCAGCTGTTTAACGTAATAACTGAACCTTTGCAAAATGTTGAGCTGTGTGAAATCAGAGCTCATAAACAAAGCATAGATAATCCGACACCATAAGCGTGATCATCAATGGTGCAGTTGGGCCACATGTAAATTGCTGAACTCTCCTGTTTTTTAAACTTGAGTATAAGGTAACATAGAAATCTCCTCTCGACGCCATCTATGGGGTCGATAGACATCTTACTTCGCTTAATCAAGACAAACTAGATTCACCACATCAGTCTGTTGCAATAATGATTGAAAAGACCCACTGAATGCGAGATGGACCAGAGCAAAATCGGGTAATTGGGCCAAAATTTTTTGAGGGTGAGTTGTAAAAATCAACTACACAACGAAGCCGTAGTGCAACTAGAATGTGAAAAATTGCTATTCAATCCACTGCAAATGAAGATGAAATCGCATCAGAAGAGAGTTCTGTTCAGTGTTCTGTAATATATCTCCTATTTCCTATCTCCTCCTTTATTAAAACAAAGATAAAAATAAAATAAAACAACATTAAAAATAATTGGCGCTCCGGGGCGACTTCGTTGATTCCAGTGTCGCATTTGCTTTTTCAGCTGCAGGAAAACCCGGAAAAACCTGCAGCACCACATCATCTGAAGATCTTGATCTAACAATGTCCTCTCTCTTATAAAACAAAATGTAGGGTGTCTCCAGAGGCTCTCCAATAAATTCAATGCATCGCCAGAACACTTCGTGACACGACTATCGTCAAACTTAAACCAGTCCGTTTCTTCTTTGACCAAGGCGTAATAATGACCAAATTCAACGCCAGAACCACAGTGAACAATGACTGCATGAATATTATAATAGTGGTCTGCTAGGTTGACATATAAAACATATAAAATATGTTTTCTTCTGTTTTTTTGTATCAGTCTAACGTTTTCCTCACCCAAAATCTACTGCTAGTATGAAAATACACTGGCTACACCGCCCGTTTTAGTATGACACGACTTCGTGCTTCACAAACACAATGTATTCATTCGAAGGCCATGCGGAGTAATATACAGTGTGTAAAAGCCAAATGGAATAAATTCATTATTTCGGTTACTGTACATATTTAAAAAATACCCGAAACACGTCAAATGTAAATTATAATTTGACCTTCTTCAACGTAAAAATACCACCCATACCTTCAACCCCCTTCGAATGACAGGTACAACCCCCAATTTTTTAAATGGGAAGTATTGGTTTGTGATATAGTGTTTGAAAGGTCTCTCCATTCTCTACTCAAAAATGTTATCGCTTTCAAGTTAATTGAACAATTTAAATTAAAATCATGTGGTTTCCGAAATTCGATAAAATACACTCAAAAACTAAAATGTAATGCAAAACGTAATGAAATGTTCAAAATGTTCACCGCGAACGTCTTGGCAACATCCTAATCTCAAATGAAACTTAACAGTATTTAACATATCAGGCGTAACCGATCTAATATCAAGCGTTATTCGTTCTTTTAAGTCTTTCAAATCTGAAGGTTTAGTTTTGTACACATTGTACTTTCATGTCTCCATCAAAAGAAATATAATGATGAAAGATCAGGTGATCGTGCTGGCCATTCAATCGATCCTCCCCTCCCTATCCACCGATTGGAAAATGTATCGAGGTATTGCCGGACATTAACTTGGTAATTTTGGTGGTGCTCCATCCTGGTGAAATCATATTGCATTCACTGGAACCTCGGGTTTCCTGGATCAGGATATAAATTTGCTAAACTTGGAATGACATCATTTTGAAGTAGTGCCAAATAATTATCGCCATTCAAGTTGCCCTCAATGAAAAAGGGGTCATTGATATGGTTACCTACAATCCCTGCCCAAACATTAACCTTTTGAGGGTATGGCGTGTGTTCTTCTCTCATCCAGTGAGGATTTTCCGTTGACCAGTAGCGGCAATTTTGTCGATTAGCATGACCGTTAAGAGAAAAAGTACACTCATCAGAAAACATAACGTCTAATTGGATGATATTGTTATCCCAAATGTCCATCATTTGCTCACAAAAATAAGTTCTTCTATCAAAATCGTCTTCCATGAGCCCTGAGTAGGTATCATTTCATAGCGATGCATTTTATTTTCTTTTAATATGTTTACTATCGATGTATGGCTAACATTGAATAGTGGATGCCTGTCTACTCGATGTATGTGGGTTTTCCTCAAACTCAAGTATCATATCTAATTTGAGTTTATCACTCATTGCATTGGCAGCTGCTTTTTTTATCTGCCCCACATGAACAAGCTCGCGAAACTGCTTCTATGTTTTGCTTACTGTTCCTTGAGATATGGGCGGTAAATTAGGAAATTTCTCATGAAATAGGCGAGCTACTTCCTGATGTGTTCGGGTTTTTATCTCCGTAACCAATCATATGTAAAACTGTTATTTTATACATTTCCGTTAATCTAACCATTTGTCAGACTTGAAGTTAACGAACTTTAAACTTAAATTAAAATACTGATAACTAATGTTGTAACATACAAAACAAGTTGTCAAGGCCTTTCAAACTAATGTTGCCACGGAAATTATTTACAGTTTTTTAAAGGATACCATCTAAAAAATCATTGCTATGGTTTTTGCTTACTTTCTTATCATCAATACCTCGACATGAAATAATAAGTTTTGAGTGTATTTTATCGAATTTCTGTAACCACATGATTTTATTGAAAGCGATAACATTTTTGAATAGAGAATGCAGATACTTTTCAAACGATATATCACAAGCCTATACTTCCCATTTAAGGAATTGGGGGTTGTACCTGTCATTCGACGGGGGTCGAAGGTAGGGGTAGCATTTGTCCGTTGAAGTATGTCAAATTATAATTTAAATTTGATGTGTTTCGGGATTTTGTTAAAATATGTACCGTAACCAAAATAATGAATTTATTCTATTTGGCTTTCACACACATATAATATTCACTAACTGTATCAAGTTCTAACATTTAAAAATATATTTTGTAGACCATTCCTGAATACCTTTCGACGAACCCACGTCATTATTTGTCTATTGTGTACATACTTTGTACAAATATCGCAGCATAAAGAAAACGCCGACATAGATACACACAGAGTAGTAACACACAGTTCAGTTAGTATATTCGAGATGATACTAATTGCTTGCTCCTTCCGGCTTCAGGAAGACTGTTCCTAGAAAACTCATGAGGTAATAATTATTAGGTTGATAAGGAAATGAGATCTTGGAGTTATTTTTGCAAGTTGTTACGAAAGATCTGACGTAATCAAATTATCGTTATTTGTAAGTGGCGTATGACCATAAAAATGTAGAGAGCTACTCATTTCCAACTAAAACTTTCAAATGATTGAGAACATTGGTTGATCTTGATTTTTGTTCTTCAACATGTGGCGATACACCGTTACATTATTCGACTACTGTTTTAACGGTTGTTTTTTTTTCAGGTTGAAAGACGACAAGTTGTATCCATGGGCTCTGGAAATATCTTCTCTCATTCTGGTTCCGGAGAGCGCCAATCAAACGATCTACACTCAGTCTCTTTCGGAAAAGGATGCCGGCAATTATACGTGTGTTCTCAAAAACGATACCGTCATCCATAGCCACACTATCCACCTGAGAGTGTTCGGTAAGTTAAAAATATCCAGTTTCTGTATTCATCTTTGTATATGAAGTGTCAACAGGAAACACTATTACTAAGGATGAAGAGGGTTCACCTTGAAAAACTTTTCTCACACCAGAACAAAAATTCTGTCTCTCGACGCGCGTTTCGTTAATCGAGATACCTAGTATAGATATTAATAACAAAATGTTTGTCTACAATATGTTTTCTACACTTCTATGTATCTAGCATTTTACCACAGATGTTCATAATTCTACTTACTAAATGCCACCTTGAAGACCCATTCTATCAGTTTTCACTGCACAGCGATGTCTTCGAAAGTAGACGTGTTCCCCACCATGTTGTCCCTGAAATAGCTCCGATCCCATTCTGTATAGTGATGCACAACAATATCTTAACTCTCAACAATTTTTGAAGATGTAATTATACACTTTTTTCTATTACATTTACTTCATTCAGATAAAAAAACAAAAACTTTCCATTTGAGATCTCTGAAAACTATGGTTCCATTGGTCTTTCAATAGTGCTGGAACATTGCTCGCAGTCCGAATAGAAAAGCATTGAACTGGTACAGATCATCTGCAGCAGAACAGCTGTCTTTTTCTAATCGTCGTGATGCCGTGAAATAAGTTCTGCTCAACCACGAGGAAAAGGAGAGATCATCATGCTGTTATTTAATGGTCTGCTTCGAGTTGTCCAGCAGAATATGTCGATCATCCAACAAAAGTCCTGTGAAATTAAAACGAGGTGCAAGATTGTTGAAATAAATGCAATAAAGATGAGAGAAAAACACAATCAGGTGATGAGGCTGTGTGAGGCTTCTGCTTCTAGCAGAATAATTCAGGAGGTAACCAATACCACCTAACTTAGACTATGCCGACAAGCTGTAGGTTAGGTTAGGTTAGGTCCAAAGTGAGTGGGTCTATTCGACCCTCCACCACAACCCGCAAGGATTTATTGTGGCTCACACCTATTCACACTCGACCAAATAAACCCAGCTTCTTAACGAAGCCGATTAGTTTGTATGGTGAGTGGTCTTTCAGATCAGATGGTAGGAGTACGGCTCTGCCGATCTCTAAAAACCTGATTCGGTCCCTAGTGGGGCAGGCACAAAGTATATGCTCTGCTGTTTCATTATCAATGAGGTAGTCGGATAGTCAAGGTCCAAATTGCCACCTTGATACCCGCGACAACCTTCCGTTAGGGAATAATAGAACCACATAGGTTCTGTCATTCCCGTGTCCAGCGGGGTTACGTGGAAGCAGGCATCCGATGGCCGGTTTGCTCAACCCCCACATCCCAAACCAATGCACTTGCCGAAAACAGCATGCACAGTGGTTCAGGCAGAGGAATATGAACAAGGACAGCCAACTCGCCCGACAAACTTTAAGTCGAACGTATCGATCATATCAACTTTGTCGATTGAAACAAATGAATTTTGTGCTGTTGGCAACACCGTTATCAACGACCCCTCATAATTCTTCCGCTCTACATTGAATTCGCACACAATTCTTTGTAACCCACATCGCCTACTACGATGACAAACGACGTGGTCGGACCCAGGTGGCCACTCTCCGCTGTGCTGCGGGGGCAAATCCATTATTTCCTCGAAGGAAAAAGACCATGGGACATGCTACACTCGAATGCAGGTGACGCTCTTTTTTTAATTGAAATTACGTAGGATGATGCGATGTCGAGTTTCTAACTGATCACGTACGACGTGAAATTCGAAGCAACGAGCGGAATAACGAGACTCGTTTCCAATTATCGCCGTGACTAATATTCCGTTGGCGGTATACAAGAAAAATGTAGTTTTTCTGTTGTTAATTTTCGGTATTGGAAACAATTATTACCTAGTACTGAAACGAATACAGTGGGACCACTTTTCAATCGAACATTTGAAATATAGTAAAATGGAATAAAATATTTTTTCCAGAAGTGTCTGGTTAAAAAACTAATAGAAACTAGATGCAACAGAAAAAACAAAGGGCATGTGAAAAATACCTACTCCAGTCGCTTCTGAATAAAGCTTATATAGTAACAAACACAAAAACACTGCTAAAATTCTAAATTAAATCTGCTGCATCTAACTATTTGATGCAACTACAAACCTCGCGATAACTATATTAACGAAGTCAACAAAAAACTCTCGAGATACATTTCTAAATGTGGCTGTAGTAGTCATTTCAGTCCCTGTAAATGTAACCACAAATAAACTACATCAATAATGTTAAATTGTATTTTCCATAAATATACTTTTTTGGCAACCGGCCGGGACGTACCCACTTTCCGGGCGGTTTTTCTTTGAGAAAAAAACATTTTTTCGGCCTAGTCCGAGAAGAATCACATCGTTGTTGTCATTGTTAATATGAAAATCTTTGTAGGAATGGTTTTGGTAAATGCAGTTGATCATTGCCATAGCAGTGAAATGATGAAAGTTTGCTTGGTTTGTGTTCGCAATTATCGTAAAAAACTATGTAAAGCAGCGATAGTAAATTTCAAAATGTGCCTTAAGAAATTTTCAATGTAGCAGCTGCTGCTACAGCACAATTATTGCCTGAAAAATCAAAATCCAAGCACGAAAACGTTTATGATTTGTTCTCGAAATGGATGGATATGTAGAAATGGAAAACTATTACATAGAATGTAATTTTGGCTTATTTGGCGCAAAAATCTGAAACTGTCAAATCCTCTACCTTGTGGAGCATATACTCTATTTAAGAAAATATCATTTTAGTGAAGAAAAATGTAAACATAACCACTTTCCCAAAGTTTATTGCATTTCTCAAACGGAAGAGAGGTGGTTGTAGAATAACGAAATAAGAAGTCTTCAACAGCGAGTAAATCAACACATTCATTAGGGAAGCAAATAATGAAACATCTAATGCTGAAGGTAATTTTAACAAAATATTATGATTATAGGATGTAAAAGTATCAACTTTTGCTTTATTTTTAGATAGCAACTAGCCGGTGCGTGAAGAAGGGAAGAACTAACAAAAATGTCAGTTGATATAATAAAAGACAAGGCAGACGTGTTGCTTGTGAAAATACCAGATTCCAAAATACATATTGAAAGAACTTTTGTTATAATTGGTCAATGAAACCTCCCGTTGTATAGGCAATATTTATATTTATGGCCATCCCATACTCCACATAACAGATTGTTCGTGAATTACAAATGAGGGAAATGTTCGATTCAACCTGTTGGGAATCCCGGATTGAAAATCGCAGAAATTTAAATTTTCATAATGCTAGGAATTACACAGGCCATAGCATTAGTCGAACTTCAGCGATGTTATTTGATGATGGAAACATCACAAATTTACAGAGACACGGTGTCTGGAAGTCTACCAATGTCGCTGAAGGATATATAGACAATTCACTTACTAAATCAAAATTGCCGAGACCATTACAACATTATCAGATGAAAACAACAATGTGAAACGGAAACTTTACCTTCTTGTTCTGACTTCAACAAAAGGCATTTAGACATACCAAGCAATTCAAGTAGATTGAATACCTTCAACATTAGCAATTGATCGAATTTTCATACAAATATTAATATAAATAAGAGTGAGAATGTTTCTGTTAATACCTTTCTTCTGTTCGAATTTCAATAATCAATACAAATGAGAATTGAAATGTTAAAAATTTTGTTCTAAAAAGAAATGTAGTAAACAAATTTCTCTCATTGATTTATTATTATTAATGATTGCCGAAAAAATAGTGTACGTGAAACGCCCAAAAACAGTTTTTTGGGCTCGCAAACTCTACTCGTCCAAAAAACAGTATTTTGGTTGACCAGTAATAATTAAAGAAATTGGTAACATTTTTTCCATTTGTTCCTAATCGAACAAAAGTATCCAATACTCAAAGCCGTTAACCTTAGAGAATTTCCCACACGTTTCCGGTGAAAGTACGCCCAGTTCCATTTCAGTACAGCGACAAGGTGTACCTTTTTGTCTCTCGCGACCAGCACTCGATAAAGCTCTTTGCACAATGATTTGTCGTGGGGCGATATTTTTTTAACATTCACATGCAAATTCGAGCCATTCCAAAAGCATGGCGACATGATTAATGAGACAGGTGATGCTCGTGCACAGAGATTTATTCATAAATTCTAAGCCGGTAGGTGTCGGAATGGGATAAATTAGTTTTGCATTCGACTCGATCAATTCAAACCAATTAGAACAGATTATGTAATGGAATTCAGTGAATGAATTTTAGATTGGAGATATCGGAAGCTGAAATGCTGAATGATTTGCCTATTCAAATATTTAGATTACTGGGTTGCATTGGAAATGATAGATAGTTTAAATAAATACAATTATTTTTCTCATTTACACAAAATTTGTAATGATTTTTTCATACAAAGTACAAATACCGTAGGACAAGAAAAATCGTATCTATCGATCATAAGGTTAAAGCAGAGAATACATTTTTAGCTCATTATTCGACTTCCCTCGATAGCGCCTGAGGAATTGATCACTTTTCTGCAATTTGAACTGGGAGTTCAAGAAAACATGTGCAATCTTGATATCATGAGGAGTATGCTGTTACAAATCATTTCGAAATGGATATGAACGTTTAATTGCACTATTTATAATCAACCTATTTACAATCATCAATTATTAACAAAGTCTTTCAAATGTTTACATATTTTGTTCAAATGTTAACTAATGAATTTTTTTTTCTGAACATAATATGATTTTAATGGTAAATGTACGTTTATTCCCTTCAAGAAGTAATGCTAACAGTGGGTTAGGTTAATTTCCAAGTGACCCACCACTAAGGGTTATTGTGGGTCTTTGTGCGATGGATCCTGCTGGTTATATTACCCCCCTACAGAGGAGATGGATGTCGAGCTCACGACACCAACTGAACTCCCTGTAAATTTAGATCAGGAGTGAGAACTTCTCAACTCTTCAACTCCTGATTCAATAACTGAACCTAAAAAAAGTTTGGTGGTGCAGCCAGGAAACGAATGAGTCGTCTCCTCAAGAGCGGGGTACCTTATGAAACCGCCTCGCACCAAATTCTTGAGCGGCGTACGCAGAATCTGTCTCAAGTGGAGGAACAAACCCCCCATGAGCAGGTTAGCAAATGTTTGCGCTCAAGTGATAATTCACCAAAACCAGAGGCGAAAATGCCCTACACGTTTGAATCTAAGGCATCGTCAGGTGTAGTTGACGTGCAAAAACCCTCATATGGGAAGGTTGTCGCGGGTATCAAGTTGGGAATCTTGCACTTTGACTATCCGACTACCTTATTAATGAGGAAACAGCATATACTTTATGCCTGTCCTGTTGGGCACCGAATCAGGTTTTTTAGAGTTCGGCAGAGCCGTACTCTAACCATCTGACCTGAAAGACCACTCACCATACAAACTAATCGGCTTCGTTAAGAAGCTGGGTTTATTTGGTCGAGTGTGAATAGGTTGCGGTGAAGGGTCGAATGAACCCACTCACTTTGGACCTATCCTAACCTAAGGGTTATTGTGACTCGTACTAATTCAAAGTACACCTATTAAGTTCAGCTTATTAATATATTTGATGTTGTTTGGTGGGTGATCGATCAGGTGTTCTGTCAAAAGAGTGAAACTCTGCCAAACACAAAAAACTTATTCGATCAGCTGTGAGGTAGAATAGAGTATATGCTCTGCTTTTTAAGAGATAATTCTAGGCTGTTTCATCTTGCAAACATCTTCGTATAATGATTCGGACGATATATTGACCTGTAAGTAGGTCTGTTAAGACAACGTACGTCATCACTGCTAATATAGTCTAAAACTTATTGGATGGAGTCAGTTCCAGATCTTCAATTTTTTTAGGCGGGACAAAAACCGAAAAATGAAGCCTCCGCCCACTTATATTCATTTTTACTTTCATCATCTTTATAATTTCAGCTATCAGCTATCATTTGGACATAGGCCTACCGGAAATAATGCATCCATCGCTGTTCTTTCTGTATTCTTTATGTGTATAATAAAAATAAAAAATCAAATATATTATTGCACATTCATAACTGAGATTACAATTTTACTCTTCGAGCTTTTTGTTCAGCAAATACACTTATGGCTTCGCCATAATTGAACTCATGTGCAATTGGATTTTCTGTCTCTAAGATTGCAAGACTCGATAAGCGTTTCTGGCTCATAGAAGATCGAAAGTAATTTTAAATTACTTTTAATTTGCTGAATCTTCACTCACAGCTAGTAGGAAACAGTGTAAATTCGCAGAGCAATACCCATATTAAGAAAACCATCCTGCAAATCATGCGCATAGATCTGTTGCAAGAGATGAAAACCGTTTTTCTATATTTTCTATATCATCGAAAAAAGTTGAGGTTGCTCTTTGAAAACTTGAGTTCCTGGCAGAATTCAACGGTGCTTGAATCTCGCATGTATTTTCGAGCCAGATCTGCCCCATACTTTTGCAGTTCTTCAATTGACATTTTCAAAATATTAGCACGATCAAACCTCTTTTTAATTTCTGATATGATTCGATTGAATACCATCATCAATCTTCAGAAAATTGTTGAACAGGGTTGTAATGTTTGTAATTCATCTTTACACATTCCATCCAAATGTTTTTTACGTTTCAGAATTGTTTTTTTTGCAAAATAGGCTCAACAACACAGTTTTTTCAGCAACTTCTCCAGCCTCTTTGATCCAATATTTCATTTTTTGCATAGTTTTGGACAGACCATCCGTTAGTGCCACGGAAAAGGCAAGGATAAAATCTTCTTTCTGAATTTATATAATCACTCAATTAATTTCGCGGAGAATTTTTTATAGCAGTTAAGAGATGGCCTGCTCGTATTGAGCTTCTGGAGTATGAGAATTTTGATTACCTTCTTCTGAGGCTTCCTTTATTTTTGGCAAATTGTTTAATTGGGCATTCACAGCGACATGTTTGCTGACAATCTCGCCTGAATACTTTCTTTTGAATTTGGTTTAACCTATTTTTTCATAATGTCCACCTAGTAGTGGAGCCAACAAAAATGTTATATACTTTTTGAATCAGTCCAAATAGGTTAATAGTTTTCTGGCATGATGAGCCAGAATGAACACCTACAAGCTATAAGGAGTGAGCCAAGCGCGGTACGAACTCGGCCAGCTCATTCCTTTCTGCGATCCTGGCTTGTACTTCTTTATAGATGTCGGCCGCATTATCATAAGGTTGGCCACGACATGATCCAATATCTAATATGATTGATTAGTACTAAATGAATATTACTGGAGTTTTTTCCCAACACCAAACTGTTATTGCAACACCTCGACACGTGTTTAAATCACGAAGTGATCATCTTCAAGAGGAAGATCAAACTAACTAGTTTGATCTTCAAACTAACTAGTTTGATCTTTCTCTTGAAGATGATCACTTGGTGATCAAAACACGTGTCGAGGTGTTACATTATATAAGCTCGGCTTCCCGACCTAAGAGGGCAGTTCAGAGAGTATATTGAGCAGCTAAACAAGAAATTCAAATAGTGGAAATAAATTAAGCGTTAGTTGCAAAGTGTTGTAAAATAAATTAGTTTGTGATTACTGAAATATTGTTGGAAATAATTTTTTCAAGACAGTTAATTCATTAATTTGTCACAATACGTTGTTAAATTTATTGAAATATTTCAATACATTCGGAAAATGATGATCCAAATCCATAATATTCAGAAACGATTCTGTATTCTTGAGAATTGAAAACTAATATCTTTGTTTCAGAAAAAGTACCCGATGATCCGAAAATAACCTACATTTCAAGAGATACCATCACGGCTGTGGGACAAAGTTTGAGACTATTTTGCGAGGCATTTGCTGGTGAGTAAATCTATTGTTGGTCTTCTAGGAAATCCTGGATCTAATCCATGAGTTCGTTATTAAAGTAGATCCAACAACAATGTCCTTTGCAGGAACCCCTGCCATCATTGTAAGAGTTAATTAATCTCATGAATTGCACATTCTGCATGGAACTTGTTCCATGTTGAAAGGCACCGCTCTCGTGTACAAGTTTACTGGGAAATCTGACATTGGGAGAGGGATGGATTTTCATCCTACATGCAGCCGACATCTCATTAGTTTCGAATATCGCTCGAACTTTTGATAGTCTCTTAAAAAGAACCGGAATTGATAATTTTTGTCAATTTTTCACGGTGAATACAGAATGTGTTCTCATTACACGGTTCAAGCGACATGAAAGGATTCTTTTTCGGTGGTCATGTTGGAAACGATCATGATGAGTTGCTCGTAACTTGAAAAAAAATTGAATCGACATAATCCAGTTATTACATGGTGCCAGTGATATTTCGGTTATTGCCTTTATAAGGACTGTTTTTTTTCTAAGGACAAAACACAAGCACTAGAGGAAAATCCTTAAGGCGCTCTAAAAGCGGTGCCTGTGCAAAAGTTACGATTCACGTTTTATGTACGATTCACGTACAACGACATGATTGTTCCAAGACATATTGGTGTAATTTTAACACCCCAACAAACTTAGAGAAGCAGAAAGCGGAATTTCTGGACCTAAAACTAGACTTTTCTGTCCTGTGAAATCGATGTTACCCGGGTATCCATGGAAACGAGTTTTTTTGCTCCTTTAATCTGACCAATATTCTTTTTGCTGCAATCCTTGAAGTTTGTTTTATGAATCCCAGATTTTACAATTTAAATCGTCTTTGGGCGTTCATGAGGACACTGTTTTTATTCGATTCTGAATTTGATGCCAAAACTGTTTTCAAGCATCCTTTTCGCAAAAATATTATTTATTAAAGTATTATCTTATGGCAGACAACACATAAAAATCGTTATATTTCTATCTGATTTTTTTATTATCCGTCGAGGTATCAAGATTGCTATAATGTCTGACATATCAAATGAGGTGGTAGAAATTGATTTTCAGGGCATATAGAGAAAGAATGGTTTTTTATCTTCCAGATATTTTCGTTTCGATGCGTTGAGCAATCATGAAAACTTCTTCAAATTTGAACATTTACAAAGTTTCATGCAATTCCAATGAATATACTTTAGTTTATGTTGTGGTTTCAGGTGAAGTGGATCTTCCAGACGCCCACAGCGAGGCATACTGGAAAAAAATCAGTGCCAATAACTCGATTTATGATGTGCCATCTTACGCTCAACAGTTGAAAATAGACAGGTGAGTTTTCAAAAAGTAACTACTAGAACACTGAATTAACCAAAATAATTCCAAAAGTAGGTAGTTTAAGATTTTCTTAGTATCCTACAATTGGTGTGTATTACTCTTCAATGATACAGAAAAGTTAATCTTTCCAATTTATCGAATAAATTGACAGATTTGTAGCAACTATCGGTAATGGAACTTCTGGATGAAACATTATCCGACTGACATTATCCGAGGTGCCAATATTTGAAAAATATTATAATTACTGCCCGACTGGTGTGAATAAATTTAATTTTTATGATTCCATTGTAACGATTACAATCGTCAGATTTAGTTTGGTATACATAATTGTGAGAGAAAAACGTCATTTCTAAATCTCAATTGGGCACAAAAATCTTCATCGAGCCCCACGTTGGGTGCCAGTTTCAAATAAAATATTCAGCTAGATAATGTTAGTTTCCAACTCCCCATCTAAAATGATTCTTCACCTGAGTTTGAAATTCCAAAATTTTTCTCATCTATTAAAATAGATATTATTTCTTCTCCAACGTGGACAACTTTGTGGCCGCTCTTCAACTCTCAATGAAATCATGTCCAAATTCTGAGTTGTAACATCATCATTATGCAAATGAGTTTAAGGTGCGAATAACACACACAGAAACCGTTGTTCTCCCATTGTTCTGTAACTCTTCAATGGAATTTATTATCTGCGAGATGATAAAACGTTTATGACTGTCAGTAGTTGCGGTGAATTTGATGCTCTGACCCTCATAAAAAGCCGCGCAACAGTGTTTGGTATGCTGCAAAATTGTGTAACAAAAACTTATGCAGGTTTCTGGAACTTATAGGGATGTCGTCCTCTAATTCTCACCGTTAAATTAATGATATTTATTTCAAAATAGCTTTTAATATATAAAATTCTCGTGTCACACTGTTAGTTGCCATACTTCTCGGAAACGGCTTGACCGATTTTTATGAAATTTCATGTCTATTCGGTAGATCTGAGAATAGGTTTTTAATCTATTTTTCATACCCTTAACTGATTATGGTGCACCATCCCTAACATTTTTTAAAATTTTTTGTTTTCATTTTTTCATGATGTGGCATTGAAAAATACACATAATCCCTCAATTTTTACCGTTCTATCCCCAACCCCTATTTATTAATAGCCGTTTTAGTAATTTAATCAATGTAATTCCACCGGTTATTCTCGCCAGGCGTCTACCCGTGTCACTTATCACTCAGTAACAGCACAGAGTAGGGATGCTAACGAATCCGGTCTCCTTTCTCTTTCATACAATAAGCCTTCTCTTACTCCGTACACAGTTTTCGGCCACTATTATTGTTTATCCATCGAGCGTAAATACAGTTTGCGATGCCACCGAAGCTTTGAATTATCCAACAGAGTTTTTGAACTCATTGGATTTGCCAGGCACGCCACCGCATAATTTACAACTAAAGGTTGGACCGCTCTGTGATTTGAATCCATCACGGCTGTGCAACTGTGCGCGATTAGTCATCAAATGATTAATGAAAGAAGTTCCCAAGTGAATATATAAAAATACCACGAAGCCTAAGTATACGTACAGATGTGCCAATTCATTTTGGCATTGCAAATGCTAATTGGATTGGCACTCATCTTCAATGGCGTGGTAGAAGTACTCTTCTTGGCGTGTCAAGGTATTTCAGTTGACACTGATAAAACCACGGCAAAACCAGGAAACCAATCAAAACTTTCACAATAATATTATCATTTCCTTTATTGACATTTTCAGTTGTAGCATACAAGATTTAATCCAGATGAACTTAGGGACAGTAATTCGAATGTTTTTATACTTCAAGTAAACTTGTTTTCCATTTCGAATGAATTTTACTTCATAATTTTGCTCTGTAGGCAAATATTCAACACAATCTCATCTGTTACTTCAACTACAAATTTGTTTCATTATTATGCATCACATTCAAATGAAGTTGTTCCATTTCATAATTCGCTGAGTTGTCGCTGTTCTTGTCCGAACACGTAACTAGATTGCTGGTATGCTTGAATATAAATATCAATTTCGAACAATTGAACAATGTTCTCCTCAAGTCGAACGAGTATTTTGTCGCGGTGCCAAGAAATTCTAATCACCGATACCTTAACCGAACTCAACGACGATATGTACCCCTTAATAATAATAATAGTAATGTTGTTAATGTAGTCCTTCTCGACATTAATACTAAGACGCAAATCGACGTGTCTCCAGCTCCGAAAAAAGGAGAAAAATGTATTAAATATCGAAGTCCACAGATTCCAGCAGACCACTCTGTTGAAATAGTTGTTCTGATCTTGACTGGATAGATGGATAGATAGGTAGACTTTATTGAGGACAATTTACACAGTTGCAAAGTTCAAGTGAAAATACGATTCAATGAAATAAAAAAGAATTGAAATATGTAAATATGAAAAATATCACAGTCATCATTATCAACTATTCTCACAAATATGGAAGAAAAACTTTCAGTGACATGGCTCAATATCAAAAAGCAGATCCTAAAACACGATTTTCGAATATATTTCCTGTGCTGACTTCTCTAACCAGTGTGGGCATATGATTATGAAATTCAATGACTGCATGTTGGGTTCCTGTGATTGTCAGTCTATGCTTAGGAAGGATGAAATTAGGTTTTAGTCTAGTAGAATATTCATTTTTGTGTTTATCATTCTCAAATTTTGATTCATACATATATATGTGAATCCCATATACTGTGAGCATTTTGTTTTTTTTCAAAATACTTTGATATGAGTCCTTATTTTGCAAATTAAACATGGCTTTCAAGATGCGTCGTAAATGTGTATTTCCACCAGATACAATTTTTACGTGGGTTCGACAATAATTGACTAAACTGTACTGTAAACTCAACTTCATTTCACTATTCTGCCAAAACACCACAAAAACTTTTAACTGAACTTCAGACTAATGTTGAAATGTATGTCGCCTTATTGGCTCACTTCGTATCGCACTTTCAACTAGACCCGCCCCATCTGTCTGCTGGTATTGTTTATATATCCTAATTGAAGTATCTAGAAGCCGATAGGAATCTTTCCGAAGCGACGCGACACGTACAACGATCGAGTCACAGTCGACTGTGTCGACAGTCGACACAGTCGATGACTAGCAGCGACGGCCGGCGTTATTTTTTTCAGGGGATAATTTATAACACTGTTATACTATATTTGAGAAATGGATGAACAGTTCCCTAGTAGGCAGTATCAATGTTTAGGTATCTTTTCAGACCTCTGATCGTATAAAACGCACTTGTAGATTTTTTGTAGATTCTGTATGTCTCATAATTTAGTTAATTACCAATAAATATATTTCTAGGTCGGTCGGTAGCCAAACGGTTCGGCGTGGGTGCTCTGTTCACTCACTCGAATTGACTGCCGTGTTGGTCGGTGGTTCAAGCCCTAGTCTGAACGATCGATCTTCACTTGCTATCGTCCAACCCGTGTTAGGAATCACACGTCACCTCGCACAAGATTCGGCTTCTGAGGGTTGTCGTTCGTAGGGGTGCGACGACTGGTTAACGGAAAAACAGATTTTTTTTTATCACCTGATGAAAATTGCATTAGAATGTTTGCAATGGTGTCACTTGTCTAAAATGTCTCAAATTAGTTTTGGTAGATATTTTTTTGCAAAAAGCTCTCCAAAGTATCTCGGCTATCAATTGGCAAAATGAGACTTGAATCATCAGTACAACAAATGTGCTCGATTCTTTAAATATATCTGACAAGTCATTTATATAAATAATAAATAGTAACGGACACAGTACACTTCCTTGTGGTACAACTTTTTCTGCAATTTCTGCATGAAAACTCATGTCATTCATCTAAATGGAGACTTTTTGTTTTCTGCCTCTCAAATATTATTTCATAACCTTAATGAAACAGTTATTGAAGTGAAATGAAATGTTGACACTGTCAAAGGTTTCAAGATGTTGAGCAAAATATGTTTAAATGCAGAAAGCTTTTATTATTGGTACATTGATAACAACGTTTTTATTGCTGTGAAGACGTTTTTAAATTCAATCTCAACCTTGCTTTTAGGTCCCTTGTTCTTTCGAGTCCTTTGTTCAATGATTCGTCAAAGAAATGCTTGTTACGTGTTTTCGCGTCGCCTCTGCCATTATTTCCGCCGTTTCAGTTTTGTTGTTTTTCGAATAGTCGAAACACTGTTTCTCCGAACAATACATTTGTTTTACAATCGTTTCACTGCTTGACGTAGGACGTTTAAATGTTTGCTGATGAATGGCTAATAAATTTACTCTTTAGAAAAATTTGTAGCGAAGTCAGGTGCTAAGGCTATTTGTTCGGAGAGAAAAACAAATTGGACGAAACTACTGTGAACAATCTATTCTATTTACTTAATATGTGAATAAATTACCTTTAGTACTACCAGAGGCGTTTACTTGTTTATATGCAGATGACTCTCCACTTTTGTTTTTCAGCCAATTATGTGTAGATGTTCAGAATAAAACTGATACAGACTCTTCTGCATTACATAGTAGTTAATTATTTTTTATATTGAGAAAATACTCATTTATTAACGCCCAACCTTAGAAATGTAAAATTTGGCGCATCTCAATGATCCGTCTTAAGAACTACTTGAAACTTGTTTTACATCTTGGGGTTGGATGTAAAAATATGCTTACATCTGGATTTTTTTAAATTCTACATTCAAGGGGTCGAAATAGGGGTTGGACCTTCTGAAGGGATATACGTCATTTTTGACTTTGAAAACATGAAACTTGGTACTGAGCCTCATTTGCTAAATATAAAACGACACTCTAGGGGATTCTCGAACCCCTAATTCAAACCTAGATCTCGTAGTAGGCCTAGACCTCATGGTAGGCTACTCTTGCCATTTACAACATTCAAAACACGAAATTCGGTATAAAGTTTCTTAATCAAACATAAAAGTAAACATATCGATACCGAAGATTGCAAACTTGACTACAAAATGTATTATTTTTCA